TGACACTCTATCGACTTAAAAACTACAAGGCGTCGTCAGAATAAATATGTGGCATAGGATATCGCGTTTAAACTCGGAATTTTTACGTTTCGGGACTTAGAATTTTTACGCGTCTTCTTAAAGTCGCGCTGCAGCGTCGTCACGAATGACACTCTATCGACTTAAAAACTACAAGGCGTCGTCAGAATAAATACGTGGGCATAGGATATCGCGTTTAAACTCGGAATTTTTACGTTTCGGAACTTATAATTCTTACGCGCCTACTGAAAGTCGCGCTGCAGCGTCGTCACGAATGACACTCCATCGACTTAAAAACTACAAGGCGTCGTCAGAATAAATACGTGGGCATAGGATATCGCGTTTAAATTTGTAATTTTTACGTTTCCGAACTTATAATTTTCCGCGACGACTTAAAGTCACGCTGCATCGTCGTCATGAATGACACTCTATCGAATTAAATCTTGCGAGACATCGTTAGATTTATTGCGGGTGCATAGAATTATTGCGCGAAGCCAACGTCACCGGCGCCTTCACCATCCCAGCGCATCATCCTTAGCAACCCCTGTGAAGTTAGCCCCCCATTATTTAAATATTTTACTTTTTTATAGAGTTTCCTATAGATTTACGATAGTTCCAGAGTTCTTGTTGGGTTTAAGAAATAGTTCTGCCCATTAAAGACGTTAGAATGAATTTTAAGTTAGAGTTGCCAAAAAGAAGTACTCGTAACTGTAACTGTAACTTCGTTACAAGTAACGAGTTACTACTCAACCCTGGGTTTTACACCTCGCTCGATCACATAACGACTATTTAATTGTACGATCGATGTTTTAATTGTACGATCGACACGCATTTAACTTATTGTTAGAAATTTATACTATCGCATTATCGCATATTTAATATTTTTCAGGGTGAATCTTATTGCCTGCCCCAGCCTTTTACCATGAGAGATGGATTACCGATTGCAACTTTAGTTCACCGAACGGCAAAAAGGGGGCAGCTGCTTAGATCTCAGGGTTGTTGCAGGCAAGCTGAAAACTTGTTCCACTTACAGATATCACGCGAAGAAGAATAATTTACTAGCCCACTATATCTTATGTAAACTTAAGTAAACTTTGTCTTTTATTTTATGATAGTTATTTTCTCTTTTATGCACGGAGAAAAAGTTATGGATATCACAACAATAAAAAACTGTTAATTTCCGCCCATCAATAGAAAAGGGTTGTGAGAACCACAGTACTTTGGAAATGACCTATGCGTTGCTTCAACCTTAGTGAGGGTAACTGCTTTATGGATGGTACAACTGTAAATAATTATGCTTAACGGACGGCGCCGCGCGGCACCGCGGCTAGCTGGGACGTAGATGCCCGGTTGGCCTGTCCCCTCAACTAGAAGGCCACCGTCCCCGTCCCGATCGCTGGCGCTCGCGCCGCTGCCGCTG